AACCACTAACTCCTGAAATCACCTTTAAAATGCAAAAAATAAGCTTTTTTTTTTCCTGCCATTTTCACAATGTATCATTGTCCTATAGAAAAACCCGTTTTTAAAAACGTCTTTAAAAAAAGATTAGCAAACACACTGGATATTTGTGTCAAGTTTTGATTTTGATTCATGTCAATATTAAATACTCAACAGGCAGACCAGGATTTTTGTTTCTGTTGTTTTGACACAGATCTAAGACTACAGCCTAGGCTGTTCTTGAAGGTAGGCATTCCTTTTGCCTGGGTGTTGGGATTATAGTTACATGTAGGCCTCCAAACTGGGCTACAGACCATAATTTTTTTTTTTTTTAAGCATAACTTTTATTTTCACTGTTACTCTGAACAGCCCAGAGACTAGATCTACAAAATGCCCCACCCTTTCTCAATCCTTTCATTTATTTGTCAGAATTTGTCACATGAACAAAAAATTGTAGACTGCTGCATGCTGTATTAAAGCCCCTATCCCCACTACCTGAAACACTGTAAATCATGAATATTAATTCAAACCCAAAGAATAGAGCAAATTTATGTGCACAATGCTAAAATCACTATCTAAACAGAATGTATCATTCACTCAAATTAGTAATATATACAATGGAATCAATAACCTATTAGACTAACAGAGAAAGACCTGCTTTCCCTAATCTACTATGACAACTTTAATGTAGTTTTTCTTCTTGCTATAAGGGTAAATACTGGGGTTATGGGTGTCAACCATGTCCTTACCCACACTTAAAAAGTTTATCAATAAGCTCTTCAGACACAAGTGGAGGATAGAAAAATAATATAGCATAGACAAATAGCAATAAACTACAGAATGCCTACCAAGTAATAATAAATGCAGATACTAGCTACAGATCTATTTCTAAGATAAGCAATTTGTGTATGTGTGCAAGCATAAACATGTCAAACACACATGGGTCATTTTTGTCCCCCAAATAGATCTCATTTCCACACATACAGATTTACCTGACACTTGATGGCAGAATCTGATTTCATGAGATTGATTCAATACACACACAAAAAACAAGCACGTTAACAAAAGCAAACCTTCAAAGCAGACTGCACATCTCCTGACAAGCTTATTTTACAGTCAAGTTTTACACTGCATTCAGTCTCCCCTCTACCAAGAGCAAACTGATTTGAGTAAATCATGTTCAGTTAACAGGTTCGTCTTTCTTGTAACATTAGGGTACTTCTAATTGTGCTATAAAAATAGCCCCAAAGCTACTACTTAACTGAAAATGAAAATGTCCTTCCATATAAGTTTTAAGCTTATCAAAAGTGATAGGGATCCCAGACTTTTCCACTTTTAGCATTCAGTATGTTCTTTTGCTTTACTGTGTCCTACAACACTATCAGGGTTGAGACTGAAGAGATATAAAACTTTTCCTATAGCCTTGAAATTTAAAGTCATTAAGTTCTTACTACATAAATGCTTTTCAGGTTACTTGAATTTTTTTAAGGAACGAGGGTGATTAGGGGCTGAGCAGAAGAGAGTAAAGGTAACTACTTTATGCTTTGTGACACTACTTCTTTGCTTGGCCTCTATTTTATAGCTTTCCCTCTTTGGTCCTTCAATGGGAAGGAGAAAATCCCACCACCAACTCAACTCTTCCTCATCCTACCAAATTCCAAACTGAACTAGTATTAAACTTAAAAAGCATACCTGGCTCTGACACCTCTGTTTTCGGGGTAGTTATTTTGTCCTCTCTTGAAATGCTCATTTCTGTCATTTGTTGAGTTACAGGCAAGGCAGCCACAGGCACATTTCTATTTGAGTTCAAGCAAACAATTATTTTTAAAGATGTTAAGGGTACTACTTTTTGAGATAAGTTGTCAATTCAACTTTAATTTTTAACATGATCAAATGGCACTAGACAACTTAAAATTTTGGAAGATAATGGATGCCCAGCTAAATGGGTAAGAAGAAAGCAATTTGATAAATGGCTCATCAATTCATGGCTGCATTATTTGCATAGGTCATCACATTCTATAAACCAACTAGACAATGTTTAACTGTGCTTGTAATTTAAGGACAAAAGGACAGCTGTGCTGACAGACCTTGTGTGGCACTGTAATAGTCTGCAGAGTCTCATCCTCTACAGTCACTAATCCTTAATTACAAAGAAATAAAAACACAGCATTTCAACAGTGGCCTTGAGGGGATAATGGAGTAGAGTATGTTGTGATATACATCTTTACAAGGACCCAAGAACCAAATATTATAGGACATTGGAATCCTTCATTGTGCAACATAGGCAAAGTCAAGGGCATCTGATGTATCGACACCTTGATTTATTACATGGATAGCACAAACACCTTGATTTTTCTCATGAACTCTGAAACGTTCACTCTTACCTTGACTTTTCAGATGTGCTGCCAGCAGCACCTTCACAGCTGTTTAAACTAGCATCTGCTCTCTGTACAGATGCAGAATCTGAGGTAGGACTGTTGGAACCACTAGCTGTCCCTATTATTTAAAAGAAGGGTACGTAAGAAACAAATCAATAGTACAAACCCCACTCAGTAGAGACTTAGTAAATATCAATACTTGCATTTAATTAGGTTAGTGATTTAAGCACTTTCACTGCACTGCAATCCTACACTTGACATCGAGACAGAAGAAATGTAAGAAGTCATATCCCAGTGAACATATGCATGAAACAAAATTTCAAAACAGAAAAAAGTTACAAGATTTCTGTAGAACAGTCATTGGTTCCTGAGGCAGTGAGTGAGGTAAGGTACTCAGCCTTACTTAATGTTAAGCCCTTGTTTGGCCTTCTCTCCTTGGGTTTTCAACATTCTCAGTCAATTTTTGATTCCATGTTTTCTTTCCACCAGTTCTTCAAGAGTGTTTTTCCTTGGAAACAACTTACCCATTGGGCTCATTCTGCCACTATTCTGCTGCCTCTGAAGATGTTCTTTGTAGCAAACAGAACACATTCCATTTGTCCTAGGATTCCCATAAAAGCCACATCCTGTACTACACAGCATGGGCCCTGGGGTCTGGTTAGTCTCCTGAGCCATATTTTTCTGCTATAAACAAAGAAAATTTTTAGGAATTAGCACACCACCAAAATTTACCAGTATACCTTTGTTATTATTTTTACACACCAAGTCTGTTACTAACAAAAACCAAAGCCATGTTATAATTTACAAGAATGAACAGAAAAATCCGAGTATCTTACAGTCTTTAAAAAATAAAAAAATAAGATGTGGCGCACACCTTTAGTCCCAGCACTATGGGGGAAGAAACAAGCGAGAGAGACCTTAGTTCTAGGCCAGCTGGGGATTCAGGGACAGACTCAAAAAACCAAAGCAACAAAACGAAAAGAATGTGAATGAACTATATAAGGACCAAAAATAAATTCTACCATTAAAGTGTGTGATTTTACCTGTTACTATTTAATTTCAATTTCTGAGGTCAGTTTGGGGTTGTTTGAACCAATTTAGGAAACTGGCATTTTTACTTTTTGCACTCTTGCACTATGAATAGACCATTTCAAATTAATTACTTCATTGGTTAAAAGCACAAAATGGGGAGAAAAAAAAAAAAAAGCATTCCAAAATAACCTAACCCTCTTGACATTAGTTCAGTTGGCTAAGTGTTGGATTGTTGCCTCTACAGCTTTCTTAAAACCGACCCCCCCCAAACTAAAGTAGTCTTAGATGTCTTTGGACCTCCTCAGTAATCTGATCTGCTTTGAGGCAGGCATACCTAGCCCCAGTGCCTAGAAACCTGCAGCTGCAATTTCTCTGCCAAAGGCTCTCTTAATTTTAACAAGTATCTTCCTGCCCAAAAGCAAAACCTTTCAAAGATTGAACTTGGTGTAGTAAAGCAATATAAAAACATAATTTTTGGTAATGGTTTAATACATAACACGAGGCTATCAGAAAGAACTTCACACAGCAAGCACATCTTTGCTTTTCCGGAAATCTTGTTTAAATTAGCATAGAAATAATGAACTGAATTTAATAGATTTTCCTCTGTATAAATATACATTAAGAAAAATTACTTTTGAATTCTGTGACATTATTTGAAAGCATGATTAAAAGGAAATTGCATTCACGTTTTTTTCCAACCACAACAAAGACATCCTTTAGTGAGTTAAAATAATATTTTAATAATTATTAACGCTTAAAAAAAAAAATCACAAAACAGTGGAAATGGTACCAATTTAACCAGGCCAGAATCCTGGCAATTAGTGCCATGCTCCCCAAACTGAAATGAGAGCAATCTTTCCGTTTGTTAGCAGAAGGGCACTTCATTTCAAGCAAATCAAGTTTGTGTGGAGAATGATTAGGAGCCACAGCTTAGAACAACAGTATTAATTTAGTTGGCACTGTCTCTTTAAGTGAGTAGAATTTAGCTGACTCATCTTGCAGCAGGGTAGTGTAAATATTTCAACACCACTTATGAAGTTTAATAAACTTTTAGCTGAGGTTTTTGAATGTTGAGAGTAACACGATTTAATCAAAAAGTGAATTTTCACATTTTCATTATGCACAGTACACTGATCTTTGCCCTACACAAAACTTGGGTCATTCCCAGTAAAGAGTTATGCTGAGCTAGCTTACTACACTAACTTCCAGTATCATTTGGCATTGCCTTTAAAAGTATGTGGGGATTTTAAAGATTAACCCATATTATTGAGAAAAAGATTAAAGAGGGAGATCCCCCAACTAAGTCTTCCACACCTTGACAATTATTCCAACTTATTCAGAAAACACAACTA